TCTGGATACGTTTTCTCCCTTTCTCCTCAATTGTTTGGGTATGTGTACGTCTGCAGTGACCCCAAATATGTGCATGTGTGCTAATTTTGGTTTCCTATTATACATCACCTCATATGGTGTCTTATTCACAATACTGGACCAGGTTCTATTTTGAGTGTAATTTGAATAATGTAGGGCTTCTGACCAAAATTGTTTGCCTAAACCAGCATCCTCTAATGTGCATCTAATCATGGTTTGTAATGTGGAATTCTTTCTCTCTGCAATCCCGTTTTGGAACGCAGAAAATGGACTAGATGTGTAATGTAACATTCCTCTATCCTTTAACCATTGGGAGAATTCCTTAGACATGAATTCACATCCCCTATCTGTCATAATTTGTTTTATTCTGATATTATGTTGTGTTTCTATGCGTTTATAAAATTCCTTAAATTTTTGAAAGGTTTCATCCTTGTGTTTTAATGTGTAAACAAAACCATAGCGACTATAATCGTCTACTATTGTTAGGAAGTAACGTTTTCTATAAGTGATTGATGGAGTTAATGGACCAACTAAGTCCATGTGTACTAAGTCAAAAATTTTGTTAGTTGATCTGGTGGATTTTTTTGGCCTGGGACTAGTTTTTAATTTAGTAGATTTACATACTGAGCATTCCAAATAATTTTCACAATTTTTTATTTTGACACCTTCTGCGTGTTCAATCATTTTTTGTACTACAGGAAAACTTGCATGTCCTAACTTCCTATGTAAGATATGAGCACACTCGTCATGTATTGGTTTACCTATTTTTGGTTTCTTCTCATTGTGTGTATCTGTGTGATCATGAGATATTTTACATTCATCATTGTCACTGTTACTAATATTTTCATCATCTGCCTCAATGCAATCTTCCATATTTGAATCAATGTTATGTAACCATCTTTCTTTTGTTATCAGATAGGGTAGGCCTCCTTTAATCATCACAGTGCCTACATTAGTTTTATTCTTCTCTAAAGTTGCTTTTCCCTTTGAGAAAATTATATTGATGTCAGAATCTCTGCTTAATTTTATGACACTTAGTATGTTATGAGGTATTTCTGGTATTAACAATACCCCCTCTATTTTTCCTAGACCAGGCAAGGTCACATTCCCTCTGCCTAGTACTTGAACTTTTCTTGGTTAGCTACTTTTATTACAAACTTATCTTCTGTAAATGAAGACAATATATTTTTGTTATTAGTGGTGTGATTAGTTGCTCCAGAATCAACAAGCCAATTATTGTTCTCATTTGGTTGCGTTTTGGTGCTATCTTGTTTATTTAGTCCATTCAGTGAACCAGATTTTCTCTCTTTTGAATTTTCTCTGCCCCCTCTATTTTCTCTGTAATTTGGTGGGCTTCTATATTTATGTCTGTCTGTGGAAGACTGTCTATAATTGTATTTATTCCTATATTCTGACCTATGTCTTTCTTTTGAGATTTTGGGGCAATCTCTTCTATTGTGTTCTCTGGACCCACAATTGTGGCATTTAAAGGTTTCATTATATTTTTCTTGGAAAGCTACCTTCCTAAAAGGTTTGTGTTCTGTGTGATTGCTATAACGATTTTTTCTTGAATTGTCTTCTGCTATCAATTTGTTAGATAGACTTTCTATTGACAAATATCCTAGATTGATGGTGTCTAAGTGTGACATAAAACTATCCCATGATGAATCAAGTGAGTTGATAATAACACTTTTCATTGTTTGATCTGAAATCACTTCCCCCCTCAAATGCAGCTCAGCTCTTATTTTGTTTAAAGATATTAAATGCTCACTTATGGAAACCCCTGGTTTTACTCTGGAAGAAAAGAAGTCCTTAGACATTCTTGTGGTGGTAGCTACACTATTGCTGTGAAACAAATTAAACATGCATTGAATTATTTCTGAAACAGTTAGGTTTGGTTTGATGCTATGATACATTGCAGGGGACACACTAGATATTATTAAGAAAAATGCCTTATGGTGTAAACAATCTATTTTTAAAGTCCAAGGTCTTCTTGGGGGACTAGTGATAAAGAATAGTAAATTTTCTTTCATAAATACAACCTGGAGCTGTTGATACCATTCTTGTAAATTAATGCCATCAACTCTAAGTTTTGGGAAGTCACTGGGTAAGTTACCCACATTATTTTGTCCATTACTTACAACCTGAGGCAGTCCGTGGTCTCGCAAGTGTAGAAAATTGCAAAACGGCATGGGAATGCTCGCAACGAGTCTGCGCGGTTCTCTGGCCAGTTCAAGTCTTTCCGGACCGTCTACGTAGTTTCGCACATGCGCGTTGTTCATTTCTTCTTTGACGTCGTCGTGGAAGGTTCTCTCCATTGCAGCTCGCTCGCTCCGTTCCTCTTCATACGAGTCGGTTTCTGGCTCGGTCTTAGGAGTTCTGATGGCGGCGGCTGTTCTTTTCTTTCTTTTGGGTGCATTGGCACTTGCTTCGGTCTGCGGTGTAGGGCGGAATCGACATGGCTCTCTGGGCTCGGGCGTCGTCGTTCTCGAAGTCAGGATGGGAGCGTGCAGGTCTTGAAGCATCGGCTTGTTCGCTTGCTTCTTCGTTGGCGCTTTGGAAATTTTTAATTTTGGCCCGAATGCGGCAAAAAGCGTCTTCATTGCTGACTTTACTTGGGATTTCGTTAAGTCGTTTTCATTTTCTGATTCTGGCTCTTCCGAAGAGTTTGAATCCTCCTTTTCACTTTCGTTGTCTGATAACGTTTTTGGCGCCAGAAATTTTGAACTGAGCATTTTGATTGGCTCTGCTTCGCTCACTTTGGAGGCTTGTTGAAACCAAGATGGCTGCCATTCAAAATTTCGCGCGGGATCACATCTTTTCTTTTTCATAACGACTTTCTCTGTAGTCACATCACTCACAGTTTTTTGGTCTTTGGGTTTCTCTTTAGCGATGTTTTTCTCTCTCGCTGCTCCGCTGTTCTTCAGCATTTCTAGGAGGTTCGCGATGAGGCTTTCATCATTCTTCTGGCTTTTTAAAATCTTTAGTATCTCTGACCTGAGTTCGTTATTTTCTATTTCGATTTCTTCCTGGCCATCATTTTCATTTATTAGTTCTTCTTCTTCAGTGGTGTATTCTTCGGATTCTCTCGAAATCGCGTTTGTGGATTCGTTGATTATTTCTTGTTCAGTTTCTATTTCTTTGTTGTAGGCCCTGGTGTTGGGCCTATCTTTCTTAGACATTTTTAGTTATTTATTGAGTCAATAAACCATCCTCTGCTACCAGTTTGTTGCAATATTTTTAGGATCAGACTCAATAATAATATTTAGAGTTAGAGATTCAAATATATTTCTCTTTAATTATAGTAGGCATTCTTATCATTCAAATATTCACAGATAGAAGCAAGGAAAATGGCGAAGGTGGCTCCTTATATATACAAAGGGTGGAGCCAAGAGTAGGAGTGGTGAATTATGAATACATTAAGAAACAAAGAATAAGTTAACCCCTGATATCCCATATATACATTATTTACACATTAGGGAATAAGGCATTTACATCTGACAAAATCAAGTTCAAAAGTTATGGTCTTTGGGAAATGACATAATAGCCATAAATGGTCAGCCAATAGAGCAAGTAACACCTTTCCTTACCTGGGGTTGTTTTCTCTGAGACTGAATCTTGGCTCCCTCATCATTTATTTATTTTTTATTTTATTTTATCATATTTGTATACCGCCCTACTCCCGAAGGACTCAGGGCGGTGAACAGCCAAAATAAAATACAAAGACATACAAAAGCTAAAAAACTATTAAAAACAGATTAAATAATTTAGGCTCAAAGAACAAATTAAGACATCCAATTTATCTAAAAAACATTTAAAACCCAATTTAAAAGCCAATTTAAAAGGAGCTCAGTTAGAGAAAGGGCAGGAGTGAAAGTGGGGCTTAAATGAAAACCTCACAGCTCTCCAGCTTCCTCAGCCCCAATGATTAAAGTATCAGAGGCCCAGTTTTCCCCATGTTCTTCCATCAATCTGATGTTTGGGGCTTCAGAGAGAAACCACCAGCAGAACCAACCCAATCTCAGCCTCTGAGGAGGATCTTGGGGTGGGTAAAAGGACTCCAGCTGCTGCCCTCAGAGCTGATTTGGGAATTTACACAATTTCTCCTTTGTCTAAATTCAGAAAATATGGGCATTGGCATAAAATTTAATCTAGGGAAACTGACAGACTCTGAAAATTGTGGCTCTTGGAACAGACAAAACTTCAATTAAAGACCAAACTTGGATTATGCAATTGACAAATCTTAATATTTTATTAAAAGTTAAGACAAACTTTAATATTTTAAACAATGTCTGATTAACAAACTATTCTAATACATTCATGAGAACCAGGTTGGATTTATTAAAATCTAATATTTTGGACTTGATCTGACCCCAAATATAACGGCATTCTTCATTGCTTTTTCAGATCAGTCATACAATTGTTTCAGAGGCTCTGAGTGATAAAAGGAAATTACCCTTTTTCCACCAGATGAATCCCAAAGAAGGATTCAACTACCCAGCACTTGTTCACCTGCTCCTCCATTTCAGATGGACCCTGATTGGCCTCTTTGCTTCAAACACAGAGAAGGGAGAGAATTTCATGAGGATTTTTACTCCTATGCTTGTCAGGAGTGGAATTTGTGTGGTTATATCACAACTGTTCTCAACAACTGGATACAAAACAGCCCCAGGGAGGCCCTCTCTAAGTGGAGACAAGTCAATGTCTTTGTTCATTTCATGGAACTTGATTCCATTTGGGACAGAATTATTCCTTTCCATTTAACGTTTATGCGTCTGCCAAGACCCATTGAAGGGAAAGTCTGGATCCTCACAAATTTTATATTGTATACACTAAAAAAGCGCAGACTTCTCAAATACATCCATAGTATTTGGAACTTTGGTTATGTGTTTAAAAATAGGCCAGAAGATTCTGCCTTTGAACCCTATTTTTTTGTGGAAGAAAAGTTTCAAGATTTTTATTTTCTCTGTTCTCTTTCAAAGAACATCTTTTCTGTCAAAGGCCGCAGAAGATGCACCCAGAAAACCCCACTGGAGACCCAGAAGAAAAGGAACAGAAAAAGGATACCAAATGACGATCACTTTTACAGTATGATGAAGACTCTGGCCCAGGCCTTGAATGCCGCTTATTCCTCCAGATCGAGGAGGAGAAGGAAGGAGAGTGAAAAGACTTTGGGGTTTCCAAGGCTGCAGCCATGGCAGGTATGGGGGTCCTGATATGGATCCATTAATCTTAGATCCTTTGGAGGAGGAATCCAGAGGAGAAGGAGGGGAACCAACTCAACAGATCTGTCCAATTCAATTACTCAGGGATTAATGGTTCCAAAGAGTAGATACCATGGCATTTTAATATTAAACTCTGCTAATTTGAAAATGCTGTATTTTTTTTAAATGAATTCCCGTATTTGTGGGTTTGTGATGAGCATGGTGGAATTTCCCCTTTGTTCCGTCCCCACTGCAGGTGGGTTTGTGTGCAGCTCAACAGGCAGCTAAACCCCCCTATTCTCCTCCAGTGAAAGGGAGCCTGGGGTGGATCTGGGTGTTTCATTGGGAGAAAAGGGCACGGAGAAACTGAGGAGATGCAAAGAGTGAGAATCAAAGATAAATAGGAGATAGGCAGCATTAACTAACAGCCAACAAAGAAGCAGCTGGAACCTCTCCAGGGATGCTCCGTGTGAGGGACAGAGGCCTCCGGATGACCATGTGTCTCGGTCAAACCTGCTGCTTCCGTCTCCTCCAAAGGCTGACAGAAAAGAGAGATAAGAAGTTAAGCTTATCTGCCCCCGGCCACTAGGTGGGGCTAGAGCAACAACAGCACAATAGATACATGTTGTGGCATGACAACCTTTATAAATTTGAAGGGGACACTGAGACCATCTAGCCCAACCCCTCCTCTCTGCACGAATCCCAGTTAAAGCTTCTCTGACTGATGGCTGCTCAGTCTTTGCATTCAGACAATCCATGAAGAAGAGACTGAACTTTTCTGCTTTACCAGCTCAGCTCTAAAACAGCTCAAACTTTTATCATATTTTTTTCTCTCCTTCAGCCAAAATCTCTTCTCTTGTAACTGAATTCATTTTTCTGTGTTTGACACTCTGGAATAATAGTGAGCAGATCTTATGCTTGTGTGTAACGTGTGTCAGTGATTGGAAGAGGGCTGCATCCTCTCTTCTCCAACTGAGAGATTGTGTCAGTTAGAAAAGGGGCTCCCAGACTCCTCCTGATCTTCAGCTCTTCTCCTTGTTCTCTTTCCTCAAGGCTAAGAGCAGCTCCTTTGATCTCTTCCTTAGATTCATTGTCCTTCCCTGAAGTTCACATAGATTTTTTGCAAATTCTCCTCCAAGAGTGGTGCCTGCAAGGGGACCTGGTCCTTGAGTTGGGGTCTCCCCAAACCCGAGTGTTCACTTCCTGAGATTCTTATGGCTGCATTTGCCTTCTTTCCATGAACATTTCCCTGCTGACTCAGATTCTGTTTCCAGTTAACTACAATTTTGAGATCATTTCCACAAACATAAATATCAAGTTTGGTATCCCTCATCTTTCTTCCAGTCCACCATTCATGTTCTTATATGAGACTCTATTGTTACTCAAGTCTTAGTTGCTAAAAATCAGATTTTTTCTACTGTTTTTTACTCATGTACCCTTCTCTGTGTCCTAATCATAAATATTGTTTCTGGAAACTTGATATTCCTCTTATTAAATTTTATTTTATTCAAAAAGGTAAAATATAAGCTTCAAAAAATAAAAGTATTACAAAGACAAAACAAAATTAGATGAAACATTTTTTTAAATTGTGCATTAAAAACAGACAAAAACATGCATATTGTCCCCCCAGTTGAATACAATACAGCAATAATAGTTTCTCCCCATTGCAAAATAGGCCCACAGTTATAAACTACACATCTATTTGCAACTACTTGACTTGTCATCTATCTGCTGTATATAAAAAACGTAGTTAACAGGCAATCCAACAATAAAGTTACATTTCAAAACTTCAAAATTATCTGTTATCTGCTATTCTATTTAACTCACAGAAAATTTACAGGAGCTTCTTATCTACCACAGACCACCACAATCATCATCTCTGATCCATCCAGAATCTGTCCAGGTTTAAACATCATTGTTTGATTCTTAATAATAATGCATTTCCTTAAACATTTTAATTAGGATCTTTCCCAACAACTGCTTTCCATTCCCCAAAGTCACAGGACCTCGTGTAAATTGAGACACAAAGACTCTTAAGACTTCTTTTTCCAGTTAAGTATGACAAGTCCATTCCACAATCTCCCTCAATCTTCTTGAAATTTTATCAAATTTTTTAAATGAAGTTTCAAATAAGGCTTGTAAGTTGAAAGACTTTATATTCTTTAAATCACATCAAATTAGCTTACTCTAAGATCGTATTAATTACTGTATTAATGTCAACATAGAAAAATTGATGACCAAAGGCAAATTGTTATCCATCACCTTCAGGTTTCACAGGAAAGATTAAAAAGTATTAAAAACTATTTGAGTATCATTTTGAAGAGAGTTTTTATCCGCTTAGTTATGATACCATCCGCCCCTCAGTTTTCTAATCACATCACACAATTGTTTGTGAGTCCTTTACTGAAATCCAGTGATATCACCAGAGTTCCCATAATCTATTTAGGAAGTGCAATGATGTGTGAGAATGACTTTTGGGATGAGGGGAAGAGAGGCTGCCTAGGGAAGGATCAGAGAAGAGGGGAGAATCCTGCAGCTGCATAATGGGAGAGAAAGAAATTCAGAAAGGATCCTGGCTAACTTTTCAGGCTGAGAAAAGAGTTGGTGGGAGATTTGTTCTTTCAGATCTGCAAAATTTTGTTAATGTTGCATTACAATTAATTAGAATTAGCACATCTGGAGGTGTTTTCCATCAGGATGACCAGGGAGAAGATTAGCCTGACAACTTTCTTCTGGATAATCCCATGCTTTCTGGGAATCAACCTATTGTTTTCAAAGAGTTTATGAATCAACTACTTTTCTCTCTGATCATTTTATTTGTCATCTGCTCTAGAATGTTCCCTATAATTGACCAATTGTGTCAATTATCTCTATATTTTGTCAGTATATGATTGACAAATCTTTCTCAAACTTTTTCATTCACTTATGAAGATAATGGCAGTATTTGTATCCTATTTAAGCATATTTGGAGTTTAGACAATTGTAGAAGAAAGATTCAATGTGGAATAAGAAAGTTTTCTGTTTTTCAAATTCCTGGATGTTCTCATTCTAGTTTCATCCCTTTGTGGAGAAGAACGAGTTTTGCAATATTTCCAGCATTAAACTGTACTTGGACCAAAATGGAGAGATAACGGCAGATCTGATGATTGACAGTTTCTTGGTTCTCCCCAAGAAGTCTCCCAGGATAGAGACTCTGGCGTATTTTGTAAGACAGAGACTTTTTATTGACCAAGATACTCTTTCACTGCTAAAGTTGCTCAATAAGGTGAGAGAAATGTTGGTGTCTTTTCTCTGTTTTCCAAAGCCTGAGGTCCCATTTCAAGTGGGCCAAGCCTCGAGTCTCCAGGGTGGTTGGCCTCCCATGCCAGGTGGTGTCATCTAATGGAAGCTCTTCAACAGACGGGACCTAAGTGGAATGGCTTTGCAATGTTTTAGGAAAATCTTTCAAGATCTTATTGGTCAGAGGTTTCTTTCTTCATCACAGTTTAATTTCATATTAAAAAACCTAATAGAACAACATTTCCTAAATCTTTTACAGTAAACTTTATTATCAGTTTTAATAAGAATATATCATCATATTTAAACTTTTTTTATTTTTTTTTTTTTTTTTTCAATTTATATACCGCCCTTCTCCCTGAGGACTCAGGGCGGTGCACAGCCAGAATTAAAAACATGAAATACAAATATTAAAAACAATTAAAATCTATATAAATTTGGCCCAAAATTTAAAAAACCACAAACCAATTAAACATTTAAAAATTTTAAAAAATTTCTTCCTAAGCCAGCCCAGCTTGCTGGAAAAAGTGGGTTTTAAGGGCACGGCGGAAGGCACTGAGGTCTTGGATTCTCCTTATCTCTGGGGGCAGCTGATTCCAGAGGGTAGGTGCCCCCACAGAGAAGGCTCTCCCCCTGGGGGGTCACCAGCCTACATTGTTTGGCTGATGGCACCCTGAGGAGGCCCTCTCTGTGGGAGCGCACGGGTCGCTGGGAGGTCGTTGGTAGGAGCAGGCGGTCTCGAAGATAGCTAGGCCCTATGCCATGGAGCGCTTTAAAGGTGATAACCAACACCTTGAAGCGCACTCGGAAGACCACCGGGAGCCAGTGCAGCTCGCGCAGGAGCGGTGTTACATGGGAGCACCATGCTGCTCCCATCACTACCAGCGCTGCTGCGTTCTGGACCACCTGGAGCCTCCGGGTGCCCCTCAAGGGGAGCCTCATGTAGAGAGCATTGCAGTAGTCAAGGCGAGAGGTGACGAGGGCGTGAGTGACTGTGCACAGGGAATCCCGATCAAGAAAGGGCCGCAACTGGCGAATCAGGCGAACCTGACAAAAGGTCCCCCTGGTTACAGCCATCAGATGTTCCTCCAAGGACAGCTGCATATCCAGGAGGACTCCCAGATTGCGAGCCCTTTCTGTGGGGGCCAAGGACTCGCCCCCAATAGTCAGTGATGGAGTCAACTGACTATATTGGGATGCCGGGAGCCACAGCCACTCAGTCTTGGAAGGGTTGAGCTTGAGCCTGTTCCTCCCCATCCAGATCCGCACAGCCCCCAGGCACTGAGACATCACTTCAAGGGCATCGTTGGGGTGGCCTGGGATGGAGATGTACAGCTGGGTGTCATCAGCGTACTGATGGTATCTCACCCGAAGCCACGGATGATCTCGCCCAGCGGCTTCACATAAATGTTGAACAGAAGGGGCGAGAGGACCGATCCCTGCGGCACTCCACAGACGAGAGGCCTCGAGGTCGACCTCTGCCCCCCTGCCAACACAAACTGCAACCGGTCGGAGAGAAAGGAGGAGAACCACCGCAATACGGTGCCTCCCACCCCCAACTCTTCCAGCCGGTGCAGCATGATACCATGGTCAATGGTATCAAAAGCCGCTGAGAGGTCTAACAGGACCAGAACAGAGGAGCAACCCCTGTCCTGAGCCCTCCAGAGATCATCAACCAACGCGACCAATGCCGTTTCCGTGCTGTGCCCAGACCTGAAACCCGACTGGAACGGATCTAGATAAGATGTTTCCTCCAGGAATTGTGGAAACTGTCGTGCGACCACACTCTCAACAACCTTCGCCATGAAGCGAAGGTTGGAGACAGGACGATAGTTGGCCAATATTGCCGGATCCAGGGACGGCTTCTTGAGGAGAGGCCTCACCACCGCCTCTTTCAAGGCAGTGGGGAAGTAACCCTCACTCAACGAAGCGTTGATAACACCCTGGAGCCAGCCTCGTGTAACCTCCCGGGAAGCCAGTACCAACCAGGAGGGACACGGGTCCAGTAAACATGTGGCCGTACTAAGTCTCCCCAAAATCCTGTCCACATCATCGGGAGTCACAGCATCAAACTCCTCCCAAATAACATTCTCAAGACTATTCCTCGTCACCCTGCCCTGATCTACCCAGTCAGAGTCCAAATCCCCCCAGATCTGAATGATTTTGTCATACAGGTATTGTCCGAAATCCTCCGCCCTGCCTTCCAGGGGATCCTCCCGCACTCCCGGATGGAGCAGGGAGCAGGTCACCCTAAACAGGGCGGCCGGACGATTCCCTGATGATGCAATAGAGGCGGAAAAGTAATTAAACTTTGCCATCTTTATCGCCACTAGGTAGGTCTTAATATGCGACCTTACCAGTGTTCGATCAGATTCAGCGAGACTGGCCCTCCAACCGCTCTCCAGGCGTCTTTTCTGGTGCTTCATTTCCCTCAGCTCCTCAGTAAACCAAGGAGCTGCGCGGGATCGGCACCGGGTCAGAGGCTGCAAAGGCATGACTCGGTCCAAGGCCCCACCAGCCGCCCGATCCCAGGCGGCTACCAGGTCCTCAGCTGAGTCATGTGCTAGATCCTCAGGAAATGGCCCAAGCTCCATCTGGAACCTATCAGGATCCATCAGGCACCTGGGGCGGACCCATCTTATTGGCTCCGCCTCCCTGCAGCGGGGTGTAGCGGTTCGAAGGTCCAGGCGAAGGAGCAAGTGATCTGACCATGACAAGGGTTCCATGTCTATATCCCCTATAATAAGATCACTCAACCACTGGCCAGAGACAAAAATCAAGTCCAGAGTGTGTCCCCCCCTGTGGGTGGGGCCATGAACTAGTTGGGTCAGGTCCATGGCCGTCATGGAAGCCATGAACTCCCGAGCCGTCTCAGACGTTTCACCGATGGACGGCAAGTTGAAATCACCCATGACCATAAGCCTGGGTGTATCAACTGCCACCATGGCTATTACGTCGAGGAGCTCGGGCAGGGCCATTGCTGCACGGCAGGGAGCCAGGTACGCAAGCAACAAGCCCATCTGAACCCCATGACCCCATCTCACAAAGAGGGATTCACATCCGGCAATCTGTGGCACAGTGGTCTCCCTCGACTAAGACCTTCGTTAATAATAACCGCCACCCCCCGCCCCTCCCCTGGGCCCTCGGCTGATGGAATTTTTTCACCTCCATCCCTCTGGACTACATTAAATAGAAAAGTATCTTATTATAATGTTAAATTCCAAAAGCAAAAGTGAGGAAATAAATGAAGAATCTGCTAATTGTACCTCTTGCATCTGTCAGAGGTTTCGTATTTACCTCTGTGAAGACCAGAGGCTACTTGTCTCCATCCATTTCTACCTCCATTTTCCATGGACAGAGAGTCCTAACATCTTTTCTTTGGCATTCCTTTTCTTCTGCTCAGTCCCTGCCACAGTCCAAATGTGTGGAAAGTTGTCATCCTGGATTTGTCAAGAGGGCTCGAGAAGGTGAGCCAGTTTGCTGCTATGACTGTGTTCCTTGTCCGGAGGGGACCTTCTCCACTCAGGAAGGTGGGTCACACTGAGGAAAATGGGAGGCTTTGTGGAACTGGAACCAAATTCAAAAACAGATTGAAGCTCACCTGTTTTTTTTTTTTTTAACCTGCACGATTTCTTATCTAAACGGATGTAAATCAAGAAGACTTGGAAGGAGGAGCTTGGAAGAGATGGGAGGAGGGGGTGGCAGACTGGGTAAGCTTTACTAACAGCAGAGGAAATATCTCTTCTGCTTTTTAGTTTGGATGTGTGCTGCTAAGTTTACCTTTCTAGGAACATCTGAGTTCTTTGAAACTAGATGAATTGTTTCAGGTCCACCTTCTGAAAGACCTTTCAATCCACTGTATATTGGATCCTCCCCTTGAGGATCACTGAGAAGGTGTCACTGGTCCATAATCTGATGCTGTGGATAGTTATAGGGGGAACTCATTACACAAATAATCTTCCAATCATATAGATCAATCAATCAATCAGAATAGAGCTAGAAGGAACCTGAGAGGTCTTCTAGTCCTACCCCCTGTTCAAGCAGGAGACCCTAAACCATTTCAGACAAGTGACTGTCCAGTCTCTTCTTAAAAACCTCCAATGTTGAAGCACCCACAACTTCTGGAGGCCAGCTGTTCCACTGGTTAATTGCTCTCACTCATAAGTTTCTCCTTAATTCCAGGTTGCTTCCAGATGTTACAAGATACTGTAGGTATCCTCCAAGTCCAGGATATTAACTGCCGTGTGGCAGGACTCAGGATGTTTGCCTAAAACGATTATATGATTCAATATTTACTTCTAATAATGTAGTTTCCTATGAAGAGTCTACACATTACACAAATAATTAACATCCTAGGACTTCCCTCAACTTCATATAACTAGCTATATTTTTTAATTTAAAAAAATCCTTCTTATGCTCTTTTTAATGAAATAGTAAAGAAATTCTTCTTGGGAAATGTCTGTGGTATCAGCTGTTATCCAAAGAAGGTTTTTCTTGCAAGAGAAAAAGGACAGAATATTAAAGAAATATTGCTTTTTTGCTATCTCAGATACAGAAAAATGCATCAAGTGTCCAGATGATAAATATCCAAATGAAGCCAGAGTCCAATGTATCTCCAAAGTCATAACCTTCCTGTCTTATGAAGAACATCTGGGCATCATCCTGGTTTCTTTTGCTCTACTCTTCTTCCTAAACTCAGGCCTTGTTTTAATCATCTTTATTAAATACCGAGAAACTCCCATTGTCAAAGCCAACAACCGGGACCTCTCCTACATCCTCCTGGTCTCTCTCCTGCTTTGCTTCTTATCTCCTCTTCTCTTCATTGGTCAACCAAGGAAAGCCACCTGCCTTCTCCGACAAATGGTTTTCAGCCTCATCTTCTCAGTTGCCGTTTCTTCTCTCTTGGCCAAAACCATCACGGTGGTGCTGGCCTTCCTGGCCACAAAACCAGGAAACTGTGTGAAGAGATGGTTGGGGAAGAGCTTGGCCAACTCCATCATCCTGTCTTGTTCTGCTGTCCAAATTATCATCTGCTCCATCTGGTTGGGAGTTTCTCCCCCCTTCCCTGACTCTGACCTCCACTCCCAGCCTGGAGAGATCATCCTGCAATGCAACGAAGGGGCCGTTGTCATGTTCTACATCACCCTCAGCTACATGGGCTTCCTGGCTGCCATCTGCTTCACGGTGGCTTTCCTGGCCAGGAATCTGCCTGGGGCCTTCAACGAAGCCAAGCTGATCACCTTCAGCATGCTGGTCTTCTGCAGTGTCTGGGTGACTTTTGTGCCCACCTACCTGAGCACCAAAGGGAAATCCATGGTGGCTGTGCAGGTCTTCTCCATCCTGGCCTCCAGTGCTGGTCTGCTGGTCTGCATCTTCATCCCCAAGTGCTACATTATCCTTCTGAGGCCTGGACCTCAACACAAAGGAGCAGCTCACAGCCAGAACAAATGTAAAAACATGAGATATAACACCATTATGATATTGGAAGAATTGTTAAAAGTTTCTTTTATTTGAAAGAAGATATTTTTTCCATTTAGATAGTATAAAGGAGTCAAAATCATATGTATATTTTTCAAATTTGGAAATTATTGAATTCTTCACAAAAGAGCAGCTTACAGCCAGAAGAAATGTGTAAATGTGAGACTGAGGAATTTCAACTTTTAACATGTTCCACAGTCCAAACATAGAAAATGGTCCAAGCTGTTCTCCATGCATGAGTGGGCCAACTATTTTTCTTGAAATAAATAAAGGGTGTGTGGAAGATTGTGAGGAGACAAATTTCTTGGAGAAATCAGAGCATGTTAGCAAGACAGAAATATAGAAGGAATGTATGGAGCAACGTTGATGCCCTCATTTCTCAGTACATTTCACCCAAACTGCTGTGGCAACGCAACTGAGACATTTCTTTTTGTTTACACAATAACTCTTTCTTGAGGGTAGCAACAATAGAAGGCTGGGGAGGTAACTTGAGTCTTGCTAATTCTGAATATTCATGCTCACATCATCTATTAAATAAAATATGCATATGTACGATTGTCCTTTTCTCCTCCTTTCCTGGAATATATAAATATGAGTGCATCCTTCTGTCTGAAAGATTTCCTCCCACTATTTTCTGGGGAGAAATTCCTCCAGTGGACACTGAATAAATAACAACTGCAGTGAGCCTGGATTATTGGAGTTTTTGGCTCCTGTGTTTGATTCCACAGAAACTGGTGTCAGGAGTGGGATTCACCATCTTCCATCTGCCACCAGGGACAACAGATGGGGCAGCCCTACAGGGTGAGTGTTGTGAGATTGATCCCATAACCCTTCCCACTGCCACATAAAGGCACACTGTAGGAGCTTCTGTCAGACCACAGTCTGTGTCCAAGTGTCTCTTGTGGCTGGAAAGGTTTGTGGTCCCTTCCAACCCAGTTTCTCAGCCGCCCTGGCCCTGCTCAGCCGATCGATGTCTGGAGGTATCCAGGAACTGAGGGGGAATTTGCCTCTGTTGTAGAATGGAGGCTGACCCAGAGGTTCTGTGCAAACTCCCTTTTTCCTATTGTCTGAATGGAGGAACTCAGCTGATCCTAGACAGGGAGGGAAGTGGATGATGGGGCTCAGGCGGACTCTGATTGGGGAAGGAATCTTTCCCAAAGAAACAGAGAAACCCGCTGTGTCCCAGGGCTGGGAGGGGGTCCGATGCCTCCACTGCAGTGGTGGATTGCTACCGGTTCTCAGTTCACAAGAACCGGTAGTGAAAATTTTGAGTAGTTCGGAGAACTGGTAAATACCACCTCTGCCTGGGCCCGCCCCCAATCTAGTCGCTGCCTCCTGACTCCCAGCTGATCGGCTAGAAGGAAAAAATCAGGGCTCACTTGAGAAAGAAGAGAAAAAAAAATCAAGATGCCGTTGCTTTAAATTGACAAACCAAGAAGCAGCTGCTGGAGGGAAGTTTTTGCTTGCAGAAGCGAAGTAACATTCAGCAGTTCATTTCTGGGTCAGCTGAACAACAAACTGGATAAGGAGGAGGGATTCTTATATGGTTCTATGTTTTTGAAGTTTTGGGGTTTGTGCAACATGGGCTTTGTATTTCTAAAAAGGTTTGGGCAATTTCAATTGTGAAATATCCTATCTTGAATGAGTTTTCTGCCTGCTTGTAAATGGAGCTGAACTTCCAGCTTCCACTTTCTATTATCTCTAAGCACCGGTAGCTGTTTTCTTCGTACAAAGTTTCCTTTATGCAGCTGGCAGGAATGTGGAATGAGGATCAGGCAGGTTCCTTCTTAGCAGCTTGATTTTTCCTTCCTTTTCTTATGAGTAACATTTTATTTGGGGAAATGAAGAGGGGGGGAGTTTGATTCCTTCCCAAAGCAGGTTAGTGGGGTGGGGAGGGAATGGGGATTTTGCAATGACCTTCCCCTGTCACACCACACCCACCAAGCCACATCCACAGAACCAGTAGTAAAAAAAATTGAAATCCACCACTCCATCTTAATATGCTATTCCTGGTATGTGATGTTTTGTATACATACAGAGAAAGAACCACTCTTGTGATCTTTGACTTTTAGGCTTGCTGTCAAACATCAGCCATAATAGCAATGACTGTTTTGAATAGGCAGGTTGCATTACACAAATGGCTAGTTTATATGTGAAATTATGACTGAAATATTTCTGCACCTCTATTGGTTCTCACTGTCAGGAAGTTTCTCCTTAGTTTTAGGTTGCTTCTCTCTTTGTTCAGTCTCCATCCGTTGCTTCTTGTTTTGCCTTCTGGTGCTTTGGAAAATACATTCTGTGTGAGGGATCTCACGAAGAATGATGGTTCGTTGAGGGCGCTTCCAAGAAAAGGTCAGCACACAAGGATGCAATCAAATTAAGTCTTTATTTAGAAGTAAAAGTAGAGTAACATAAGGTCCCAGGCATGGAGGCATCCATGCCTGGATTGAGCCCATGGGTCAGTCCCATAGGATACTAGAACAAGAGCAGGGAAAAAGGGAAATGCAAAAGGGTAAAAGCAAAAGGGACAAAAAAAGGAGGGAGCAGCCCCTGTGCAGGGGTTCTTATAGGGGCCCCTTATAAGGTGTGTGAGGGGGCCGGAGGGCCATTAACTTTCCCCAATGGGGCTGCAGGGGCCGGAGCCCCTTGACCCACCAGTGGGATCAAAGGTGCCTCTTTGCCCCCATCTGGTGACCTTTGAAGAGACTGCCATGGCTGGCACAAAACACCTAACAATTCCCCTTCTTGCCAGCCAATGACAGGTGACGGTGAATGTGTGTGAGAGGGCGAGCAGGTGTCATAGAAATACAGATGCATTGTTTACAGGATCAAACACAAACGCTTGCACAGAAGGTTGTGTCGGTCAATAGGCACAGGTTTTGTAAACAGGTCAGCTAACTGGTCGGTAGTGTTACAATGTTTGATTTGTACAAACCCCATTCTGGCAAGCTGCCTGACATTCTTGTAGCGGATGTCTATGTGGCGGGACCTAGAGCCCACCGCGTATGCCCCGGAGATTCCAATTGTGGCCGTATTGTCTTCCTGAATTTGGATGGGCAGAGTAGGAGGTGCCCAGATGCTTGTTACCAGAGCATTGAACCAAATTAAGTCATTTGCAGCGTCCGATAGGCTGGCATATTCTGCCTCGGCCGTGGAGCAAGAAACAAATTTTTGCTGCCTAACATGCCAATGGATAGGACAGCCATTTAGCAGTATGAGGAAACCAGAGGTGCTCCGTCTACTCTTAGTGTCACCAGCCCAATCTGCGTCCAAGTAAGCGGAGAGCTGGGCTGCCTTCCCCTTCTCTGGCTCCAGCATAAGGAGGGCATCGGCCGTGCCCCTGAGGTACCTGAGTACCCTCTTGACAGCATTCCAGTGGAATTCCTTTGTGTTTTCCATGTGCCTGGACAATAGATTTACAGCTAAAGCTATGTCAGGCCTGCTCCAATTGCTAATGTATAGCAAGGAGCCAATCACAGATGTATATAATTAGTTGTCTGTGAAGTCAGGGCTGTCTTTGTGATTTTGGCCGTAGTAATCACTTTGCATGGGGCTACGCGTTGGGTTAGACTCCACCATTTTAAATTTGGCCAACAATTCCTCAATTTTTTCTTTCTGGGATAATGAAAATCCCTTTTTAGTGGCCAAGATATGTACACCCAGGTACCTGTCAACCCGCCCCAAGAACTTCAGGGTAAACTTTTCCCCCAGGGCCTTGGCAAATTCGTCACACCTATCCTTGCCAGGCCCTACGTATAGGAGGTCATCCACGTAAACCAACACCCGTTCTATATCACCTTTGGTGTCACGTGTAAAAATGCACTCATCAGCATGGGATGCCCTGAAGCCAATTCGCTCTAAACCCTTTTTGAGGCAGTCGTACCAGAGTTTTCCCGACTGCTTGAGGCCATATAATCCCTTTTGGAGTAGCCATGTGTTTCCCCCCTCCTGCTGGTAACCAGGAGGGGCCCTCATGTAAATCTGCCGGTCCAAGTTGGCGTGGAGGTAGGCCGTCTGGATGTCGAATTGGTAGACTTCCTTCCCCAGAGCGGCTGCAGTTACGAGGGCAGCCTTGACACTTTCTGCCCGGACAGTTGGAGAGTAGGTCTCAATGTAGTCCTCCATGTAGTGTTGGGCGAACCCCTGTGCTACCAAGCGGGCCTTGTAAAGGTAGCGGCCATTGGCAAGTGGTTTGGCCTTGAAAACCCACCTTGTGCCAATGACCTTCTTCTCCTTGGGTGGTTGCCCGGGGGGTGAAGACCTTGAGTTTTCTCAGGCTCTCCATCTCCTGTTCCATCGCGAGCTGCCGCTTCTCCTGTTCTTCAACGGGCAGCTCCTGGATGTCAGAGAAAGTCTTTGGGGTGACCACAACGCTGTTGACGGATGCAACGTGCCCAATGTCAGTTCTCTTAGGTGGGACCCCCTTGTTGGACTGCTTTGACCTTCTGACCTCCTGCCACTCACCACCCTTTTCCTCTGCAGGTTCCTCACCAACTGGCTGTTCACAACCGGGATGTGGAGGCCCTCAGTCCCAGGCGTTGGGCATCATGGGCCTCTGGAGCGTTGCTGGAGGCGAAGAGTCAGGTGAAGATGGCTTGTCTTCCCCCTCAGGACTGGACGGCTCATCCTCCTCATCTGGACCAGGTAGGCTGACCTCTTCATCCTGTTCCTCGCTCTCGTCGGTGGCAGGATCTGTGGTTGTCTCAGGCGGTGTCATGGTTGGTGCAGCTTTGCTGGGCCGGTTAATGTATGGACCCAGATCATTTGAGTGGATCTGGGTCCAATTGGAGTCCTCTTCGAAGGACGCAGATTGGGAGGTCACAATCCTGCCCCCTTCTCCCAGGAATTGGTAGGCCTTGGAGCCAGGGGCATAGCCCAAGAACCTCAGTCTCTGGGAGACGGATCTCCCCTTCTTTCGCAGCTGCTTGGAGATGTGCACCCAAACATAGGAGCCAAACACATGCAAGTGTCCCAAATTTGGCTTCCTACCGTGGACCAGAAAATATGGGGTCTGGTTCACAACGCTGCTCCAGGTGCGGTTCAGGGTGTAGTTGGCATAGTGTACCGCCTCTGCCCAGTACAATTCCGCAACCCCAGCATCCGCAATCAGGCTGCGCACCATGGTCTGCAGAATGCCATTGCGTTTTTCTGACACACCGTTCTGCGCAGGTGTAAAAGGCGCTGTATGAAAATGGTGTATGCCCTTGTGCCTTATCCAGTCCTGGAATTTTCGGGACATGAACTCAGCCCCACAGTCGCTGTGCAGCTGCACGATCTTTGTCTTGTACTGAGTTTCCACATAGTTGTACAATGATTTTATGGCATCAAAGGCTTCAGACTTTTCTGTGAGGGTATACACATGGCCATACCTCGAGAAATCATCGACGGCAGTGAGGAAATACTGCCTTTTTCCTAGGGACGGTGTAAATGGCCCAACCAAATCAACATGTATTAATTGATATGGGTATTGAGTTTTACGCAGTGACACCTTAGGTATTGGGGCGGCCTTCCTCTTTGCCCTCTTACAGATGGTGCAGTCCAGAAACACCTCACAGTCCTGGAGGTGAACCCCCTCAACAAATTCCCCCATCTTTTTAACCACTGGGAAGCTCGCATGGCCTAACCTCCGATGTAAGAGGTGGGCACATTTAGTATGCAGCGGCTTTCCCACTGACACCCCCTTGGCTCTGGTTGCCTTGGGCGGTGCTGGCACCTTAGGCCCTTCTTTGGGCTTACCTGCCTTAGGTGCCTGCTGAGGCTCGGGTTTCTTGCCCGCATTGGCCTTGGAAGGCCATGGTTGAGGCGGCGTAGGCACAACTGCCTCAGTCTTGTGCATCTTTGACAGCCTGGGAGCTGGCTGTGGAGCCTTTCTCTCTCTCTGCGCACAGGCCCCTCCTGGGGTGGCACCCTGTGAGCTGTCTCCTGTGGCTGGGTACTCGGGGGAGAAATATGGCAAACCATTTATAATGGTAACATTCCCAATGACCCTTTTGTCTCGAGTGACATGACCTCCCCCTTTGCGAAACAATACCTCCACCCTGCCATCATCACATAGCTTGGTTATGCTTAACAGGTTATTGGCTATAGAGGGAGCGTGTAATACACCTTCGACATTGCCCAGCCCTGGTACAGAGACAGTGCCCTCCCCAACAACCAAAGCATTGTTACCATTTGCAACCTTAACAGAGGAGTTAATTCTCCTTAACCTCTTAAAGCTTGCCTCAAGTTAGCAATGTGAGATGAAGCCCCAGGGTCCAGTAACCAGAGGCCAGTAGGGCCATCAGCCTTTGTGGCGGGGGTGAAATAGCTAGTATTCACAAAATTGCCCTTAGCACCACCTTTGCCCCTGCCAGGCCCCCTTCTCTGCCCCCTGCCCCTTCCTTGATTGGAGCCATGCTTAGGTCCTTGCTGGTAATGGGGGCAGTCCTTCTTCAGATGCTCCTCAGAGCCACAGATGAAACACTTGGCTAGAGCATTAACCTGCTCTGAACTCTGGTGCCTTCTGTTGACACGATGAGTTGTGGCCCTGGTGTACTCTCCCGCATCTCTACGCCTCCTGTCTTCCTCATTGAGCCTCCCTGTGAGGTAGGACAGAGTCATGGCTTCCTTTCTGGTTCCCTCTAGTGAGACAATAAAATTGCCCCAACTTTTATCCAGGGATGCCAGAATGACAGCGATCATGTTGGCCTCAGTCACGGGGTAGTCCCTGAGCACCAGTTCTGCCCTGAGTGCCTTGTGGTGGAGCCCAAGCTATCACTATTAAATGGGCTATATAACAACCCCCAAATTTCACCAGCTGTGAGCCCATCTGGAATACTAGGGTACAATCTAGCATCCAGTGAGCTCAGTAGAGTGGTATAGGCTCTCCTGTGGTACCACTCTTCTTGAGGTCCCCAAGGGAAAGGTGGGGGGTCTAAAACCATTTCTAGGGTCCTCTCTTTTAAGAGACATACCTGAATCTCTTTGTTCCATATATTATAATTTTCCCCTGCTAAATGTAATTTCTGGAAATTATTTGGGAGAACAGACACAGCTGGGGCAGAAAATGCTGAAATATTTTGCTGTCCAAGGTATCTTTGCTTTGGCTCCATTGAAGTAAATGAGAGAGGGATCCCTCTGCTGGCCAGTGTAGGTATTTTTCTCTGATTATTTTTCTCCTTTTCAGATGGGGCCAACTGAGCGTGCTCAGAACTCATTCCAGCCCAGGAGCCGATGGGGGCGGACCTCTCCCTTTGTGCTTCAGAGCCAGGCCTGGGCCCAGGCCTGTGGGGCTCTGAAGAGTCTTCTGGAAGCCCCCCTGGTACTGGAACACTTACCAGGGGGCGAAGGCTGCAGGATGGGGCTGGAAAAGCCTGAAAATGCTGAGGATCGCCTGGAGGGGCCCACCGCTGGCCCTGAAGACTCCAGAGGAGGCATCCATCTTGGGAGGTGGGAGGCTCGGCTGGAGGCCTCCTGAAGTCATCAAGGTGAGTCCTCCGTTGCCTCGGTGGGGGTGTTGGAAAGGCTGGAGTCCCCAGGGGTTCTTCTGGGGCTCTCTAGAGGCCTGGGCCCTGGCTGGGGGGCTCCGGACTGGACACGCCCCCCTCGCTGGTCCCCTGGGGGTGTTGAGGGAGGCTGGCTGCCCCCGAGGTTGAGGCCTCAGTCATCGTGGCCTCCAGGGCTGCGACCAGGACTTGGATTGCAGCCCTGATGCCCGCTGCAGCAGGAGCGGCTGGGCAGACTTTGAGGCTTGCCTGTGGGGGGGTGGGGGTGAGCAGTTTGCATGCTGCTTTGCCTGGCTGCCATCCATTGCTGGACCTCGTGGCCTAGCTGAGGCCTACCAAGCCTCGCTGGAGTAGGTGGCCTGGGGGCCGCCATGTTGCTTCTGGTTGGCCCCGGAAGCTGCAGGTCACGATTTGGCAGGAATTTTCCCACCAAAAGCTCCGGGGCCCCAGGGGCCCCCAGGGTGGCCGGTGCCATGTTGGGGAGCCTCCTGGGCACTGGGGAAGGACTTACCCGGTGTCCAGAGGCCCCCTGCGCTGGTGTCCCACGTGGCTGGGCTCTTGGCATCCCTCGGGTTGCTAGGAGCAATCTTAGCAGCTCTCTGCATTCCTCACCAGTGAGCTGGTCTACGCTGGGGGTGGCCTGGTCCCTGGCCGCATCCCCGGTGTCCTGGTAGTCCTGGGTGGACTGCTGGTCTTCCATGCCTTCCTCTGTGGCTTGCAGCTGCGAGGAAGCATGCGAAGGGGTCCCTTGCATTCCGCTGGGTCCTTTGGGGGCATAGAGATCATCTGTACCCTCCTCTGGATCGAAGCTTGCATCAGGGACTGGATGCAGGGCTGCCAACCTTGCTTGGAGACTCCTGGTCATGACCGGGGAAGTCCTGCCATCCATCTCTTGGGGGTTCTTGCTGGAACCTCCTGGCATCTTGCTTCTGCTGGCTTGGAAGCATTGCCTCAAACCATCCTCAGCTACCACTTTGTGAGGGATCTCACGAAGAATGATGGTTCATTGAGGGCATTTCCAAGAAAAGGTCAGCACGCAAGGATGCAATCAAATTAAGTCTTTATTTAGAAGTAAAAGTGGAGTAAAATAAGGTCCCAGGCATGGAGGCATCCATGCCTGGATTGAGCCCGTGGGTCAGTCCCATAGGAGACTAGAACAAGAGCAGGCAAAAGGGAAAGAGTAAAAGGGGGCAAAAAAAGGGAAGAGCAGCCCCTGTGCAGGGGTTCTTATAGGGGCCCCTGGCCCCTCCTTTAAAAGGTGTGTGAGGGGGCCGGAGGGCCATTAACTTTCCCCAATGGGGCTGCAGGGGCCGGAGCCCCTTGACCCACCAGTGGGATCAAAGGTGCCTCTTTGCCCCCATCTGATGGCCTTTGAAGAGACTGCCATGGCTGGCACAAAACACCTAACATTCTGTCTGGCAGCCCCTTAAAAGCCCGCTGCCTATCACCCTCTTGGGCAAAGCATGGGAGCCTTTTCCTCCTTTCAGTGGTCCAGGAAAGTGCATCTATAGTATGTAGATAATAAAGTTGAAAAAAAGGTGAACAACGTTTTTACAGAACTAGAGATACGTTGAGGCTGGGTGTGACAAGGAATGGCTGGGAGGGGAGGGGTCAGGCGAGGCACCGCTTGATGTGAGTGACATTGAGTTGGCCACACCTACCCAGTCACATGACCATCAACCTACGCCCACAAAATAAGCCACGCCCACAGAACCGGTAGTAGAACTCACCCCTGCAGATCTTCCTTTAGTTTTCTGCCTTTTGCTTTTGGCATATCACATCACCAAAAAAGGGCTTTTCTATTTAATAAAGTCTGGAGGAATGGGATTGAAAAAAGATTCATTATTCAATGACAACTGGTTGGTTCCTCCTCATAGCCCTATTCACATGCATTCCTCCATCCTTCATATTTCCACCATTTTAAAATATTATGGTTTATTCATATTAAATTTTGGAATTTCAGATTTAGTAAAGTTTTAGTGTATCAGATTTATGAAAATAGAGAATAATTATGATTAAGAATGAAACCTCCGAGTAGTAGAATCAGCAAAGGTTTCATCTGGGGTTCATACAAGATTGGAAAGCCACTCATCCTTTTTGAAAGAACTCCTTTCTTTCTTTCTTTCTTTCTTTCTTTCTTTCTTTCTTTCTTTCTTTCTTTCTTTCTTTCTTTCTTTCTTCCTTCCTTCCTTCCTTCCTTTCTTTCTCTTTCTCTCTCTCTCATTCATTCATTCATTCATTCATTCATTCAATTTATATGGCTGCTATGCTAGTGAACCGTGACTCAAACCGGCTGCCTCGTTTCTCAGACTGTAGTGAGAGGAGGTGGAGGTGAGGCCATGAGAAGGGGTCCCTCGGAAAAGGCAAAGGTTAATGTTAAACTTCTGCATCAATGCACCTCAGTGAAACTATGTGTGTGTCTTTCAGAGGCAGTTCTGTGGCTGTTGTTGGGAGGTGTGCACGTCAGCCCGTCTGCAACAATCTCCAGCATACATCTACAAATCAATCCCTTTGGGGCATAGGAATGCTTTGATGCCTACACAGAGTTGCAGCAACCCTCCCTCAAACCCAAAGTCAAATGTCTTTTGCTGCAGGAGGTGAGAGGCGAGTAGGAGGCCGCGAGCCCTGTGTCAGAAAGGGATGTTTCTAACCCCCACCAGGTTATCCAAGACAAGGTATTTTCGGTTGGAGAACTAGAACTAGGCGACAGCAACAGGCGTGGAAGGACAGACCTACATTTGAGCATACATTTGAACCTCTCCCTCCAAGATCCTTCAAGAAGATCTTTCTGTTTATGGCTAGTTGAATTTGGTTTAGGGGTATAAATTTGCCATAGGTGTACAGTAAAGGCCACCTAACCAAGCAGAAGAAAGGGATGGACTTTCTGCTAACCAGTTAAGCAAATGTATGTAGGAAACACACCACAGCAGTAATGGGAGACTTAACTATCCTAACATCAACTGGGAGACAAACTCTGCATCAATTGAGAGGTCAATCAGGTTCGTGACCGACCGAGCTAACTACTTTGTCATCCAAAAGGTAGAGGAGGGATCGAGAGGGACAGCTATACTCATCTAATGCTTACTAACAGAGGAAAAATGACAGAGGAGGTTGGAGTTCCAGGAACTTTGGGGGAGAGGGACCATGTCATATTAGAATTAAACATCATGCAGAAACCAGCAATAGAACATAATCCAACCAGTGTCTTAAGACTATTTCAACAAACATAAAGACAGCTTTAGAAGGATTCCATGGATGAAAATCAAGGGAAAAATAATTCAAGAAGCTTGGGAAACTCTGAAAAATACAATCATAAAAGCCCAGTCCAGCACAATATCACTGGAAAAGAAAAATAACAAATCCAAGAAGAAACCAGTATAAATGCACAATGAACTCTCTGATAAATCAAAAGATAAAAAGGATAAGTATAAAAATTGGAAAGAGGGACACATAATTAAGGCAGAATACCAGCAAATAGCCCAAATCCGCAAAGACAAAGTCAGAATGACTTAGTTCTGAACTAAGACTTGGGAGGGGGAAAAGGCAAAAATAATTTTAAAAAGAGTTTCTTCCAACATAAAAAAACAAGAAAAAAGTCAAGGAAACAATCGGTCCACTAATGGGAGAAGATGACAAGGAAGTGACAGTCAGCAGGGAGAAAGCAGAAATGCTTAATCCTTTCTTTGCATCTGTTTTCACACAAAAAGAAAAAACCACCCAACCTACCAAAAACAGAACTGTAAAAGACAGACTAGGAATTCAAATTAAAATAAGCAAGAAAATGGTGAGAGAACACCTGTCCGCTCTAGACGAGTTCAAATCCCTGGGACCTGACAGACTCTATCCCAGGGTTCTGAAGGAGCTGGCAGACATTGAAACACATCTGTCAAAAATCCTGAAGCACCAAGGAATTGCCAGAGTTCAATACCCAATCAAAAAAAAATAAAAATGAAATTGAATGGGTGAAATGATAGCAATGTTTCAATATTTGAGGGGCTGCCATAAAGAAGAGGGGATCAACTTATTTTCCAAAGCACCAGAAGGCAGGACACGAATGAAAGGATGAAAACTAATCAAGGAGAGAAGCAACTTAGAACGAAGGAGACATTTCCTGACAGTGAGAACAATTAACCAGTGGCTCTGCTTGCCTTCAGAGGTTGTGAATGCTCCATCACTGGAGGTGTTTAAGAAGAGACGGACAGCCACTTGTCTGGAATAGTATAGGGCCGTGATGGCGAACCTATGGCATGCGTGCCACAGCTGGCGTGTAGAGCCCTCTCTGCGGGCATGCGAGCCATTGCTCAGCTCAGCTCCACCATGCATGCATGTATGTGTCCTGCTAGCCAGCTGATTTTGGGGATGCGCAGAGGGTCGCATGCATGCGTGGCGGATGGGGTCATGCATGCATGCACGGGGGATGGGGCGGAGTGTGTGTGGGGGGGTGCGGTGTGCCCTCCACAGCCCGTATTTGGGCCCAGGAGGCTGCAGGGAGGCCTGTTAGGCCCAAAACGGGGGGCAGGGGGGTCACGCACACATACGCAGAGGGCCGGGGGAGTGGGGGGGGGGCACATGCGCATGAGCAGGGGGAAGCAGGGGGGGGCATGCACACATGCACGGGGGGCTCATTGCATTATGGGTGTTGGCACACACACACACTATCACGTGCCTGCACTTTCAGCAGGTTAGCCATCACTGGCATAGGGTCTCCTACGTGAGCCGGGGGCTGGACTAGAAGAACTCCAAGGTCCCTCCCAACTCTGTTATTCTGCTATTAAAAAGGTAAAGATTTCCTCTATCCAGTCATGTCCAACTCTGGGCGGGGGAGGGGGTGTTCATCATCTCTGTTTCTTAGCCAAGGGAGCCAGCATTGTCCAAGACAAGGCTTCTGTGATCATGTGGCCAGAAGGCCTGTAGGCCACAATGTTACTTTCCCACCAAAGTGGTACCTATTTCTCTACTGGCATTTTCATGCTTTCAAGCTGCTAGGTTGGCAGGAGCTGGGGCAAGCAACGGGATCTCACCCCATCATGTGGTGCTTGGGTCTCAAACTGCTGACCTTCTGGTTGAGAAGCCCAGCATCTTAACCATAGGCTGCCACGCTCCCTAAAACAGAATAAAAGTGTGAAGAACCTCAAACCGGTAGGATGTGGAACATTTTCTTCTGGACTACATAAAACATTACAAAGCTGCTCCCCTTTGAAAGGAGCCCAAAGCCGTCTCTCCATTGAGGTACAAAGAAAAAAATTATGTACAAATTAGGACTATCAACTTGAAAAGAGATGTTTTTCTTGATTTGTGTATTCATTTCTTCAACTGATTTGAACTGAGACTGAAACTGACTGCCTAGTTTCTAGAACTGGAGTGAGGTGAGGTGGAGGGGAGGACTGGAGAATGTGTCCCTCAAACTGGGTAGGTCAGTAGAGCCCATGGGACATGAGAATGAAGCCTGTGTCCCAAAGGGATATTTCTAAGGCCCAGATTAGTATCCCAGAAAAGGTCCTTTCTTGTTGAGGAATTACAATTAGAAGACACCAATTATCCTTGATACAAAACCCACCACTTTCCCCCACCTTGTTGAGCAACTTTAGCCGTGAAAGGGCATTTTTTTTCTTATTTATTTATTTATTTATTTATTTATTTATAATATTTCTATACCGCCTTTCTCCCATAGGACTCAAGGCGGTATACAACCAAGAAAAATATAGACATACAGACATCATAAAATTGCTAATTAAAATTATTACTTAGTTTGGCCAATTAAATAAAACCCAGAATTATATAACATTTTAAAAAATCATTCACATGTTCATATGTTTAGCCCCACCTGTTGGAACATCAGGGTCTTGAGGGCACGGCGGAAAGCACGGAGATCAGGGATATTCCGTATCTTCGGGGGCAGTTCATTCCAAAGGGTTGGAGCCCTCACAGAGAAGGCTCTCCCCCTGTGAGTCGGCAGTCGGCATAATTTGACTGACGGTACCCTGAGTAGTCCCTCCCTGTGAGAACGAACTGGTCGGTGGGAGGCTATTGGTGGCAAAAGACGGTCTTGTAAGTACCCAGGTCCTAAGCCATGGAGCGCTTTAAAGGTGATGACTAACACCTTGAATCACACCTGGAAGACCACCGGGAGCCAGTGCAGCTCGCGCAGGAGAGGTGTTACATGGGCATAATGAGTTGCGCCCATAATCACCCACGCGGCTACATTCTGGACCAGCTGGAGCCTCTAGGTGCTCTTCAAGGGGAACCCCATGTAGAGAGCATTACAGTAGTCCATACAGGAGGTGACTAGGGCATGAGTGACTGTGCACAAGGCGTCCCGATCCAGAAAGGGATGCAACTGGTGGATCAGGCGAACCTGATAAAAGATCCCCCTGGCCACAGCCGTCATGTGCTCTTCTAAAGATAGCCGTGAATCCAGGAGGACACCCAAGTTGCGAGCCCACTCTGTGGGGTGTAAGGTCTCATCCCCAATTGTCAGTGATGGTACCAGCTGACTATACCGGGATGCCGGAAGCCACAGCCACTCGGTCTTGGAGGGGTTGAGTCTGAGCTTGTTTCTCCCCATCCAGATCCGCACGGCCTCCAGGCAATGGGACATCACAGCAAGGGCATCTTTGGGGTGGTCCGGGGTGGAGATGTATAGCTGCGTGTCATCAGCATACTGATGAACACTCACCCCAAAACCACGGATGATTTCGCCTAGCGGTTTTACATAAATGTTGAACAGAAGGGGTGAGAGAATTGACCCTTGAGGCACCCCACAAATAAGGTGCCTTGAGGTCGACCTCTGCCCCCCTGCCAACACAAACTGTGAACAGTCAGAGAGGAAGGAGGAGAACCACGGAAGCATGGTGCCCCCTATTCCTAACCCCTCCAGCCGGTGCAGTAAGATACCATGGTCGATGGTATCAAAAGCCACTGAGAGATCTAATAGGACCAGGACAGAGGAACAACCTCTGTCCCGAGCCCTCCAGAGATCATCAACCAATGCGACCAATGCCGTTTCTGTGCTGTATCGTGGCCTGAAGCCCGACTGGTACGGATCCAAATAGACAACATCATCCAGGTATCAGGGTAGTTGTCGTGCCACCATATTAAGTCTCCGCCTTTCAAAAAAACCCAGAACCTCTTCCCTGGGATCCTCCTTGGGGAGAAAGATTAAGCCCCAAAAGACCAGATCCGCTGTTAGTTCTCCATTTTGGTCCACATAGAGTTTTGTGGCGGTAATATTGTGAAACTCATTCTTCTCCAGGAAAGGATGGAACTAGAGTGGGAACATCCAGGAATTTTAAAAGCAGAAAAGTTTGTTTCCTATCCCACATGGTCTGTTCTCATGAAGATGATCATATAACTCTTGGAGGATAGATCCTACAGGTTCCATCTTACCTCTTTTCCTACTTTCTCACTCTACACATCTATATTTTCAGCCACTGACTATAGGAATATTTGCTCAAAGTATAAGATGTCTGGTTCTTGGGAGCTACAAAATATTAAATTCCTCTGAATGACTTTCACAGATTTCTCTTTAGTCAGATTTATTGGGATGAATAATGCAATAATTCCAGTCATTCAACCATTTCCCATTTCAAAACATACTATTTAAGTGGAGATAATCACTGCCTTCTTTCAAATAAAAGGAACTTTTACTATTCTTTAAATATTCTAATAGATTACATCTCATGCTTTCACAGTGATTCCGGCTGTAAGATGCTCCTTTGTGTTCAGGTCTGGCCTCATGAGGATAATTTAGCACTTGGGGATGAAGATGCAGACCAGCAGACCAGCACTGGAGGCCAGGATGGAGAAGACCTGCACAGCCACCATGGATTTCCCTTTGGTGCTCAGGTAGGTAGGCACAAAAGTCACCCAGACACTGCAGAAGACCAGCATGCTGAAGGTGATCAGCTTGGCTTCGTTGAAGGCCCCAGGCAGATTCCTGGCCAGGAAAGCCACCGTGAAGCAGATGGCAGCCAGGAAGCCCATGTAGCTGAGGGTGACGTAGAACATGACAACGGCCCCTTCGTTGCATTGCAGGATGATCTCTCCAGGCTGGGAGTGGAGGTCAGAGTCAGGGAAGGGGAGAGAAACTCCCAACCAGATGGAGCAGATGATAATTTGGACAGCGGAACAAGACAGGATGATGGAGTTGGCCAAGCTCTTCCCCAACCATCTCTTAGCTCGGTTTCCTGGTTTTGTGGCCAGGAAAGCCAGCACCACCGTGATGGTTTTGGCCAAGAGAGAAGAAACAGCAACTGAGAAGATGATGCTGAAAACCGTTTGTCGGAGAAGGCAGGTGGCTTTCCTTGGTTGACCAATGAAGAGAGAAGGAGACAAGAAACAAAGCAGGAGGGAGACTAGGAGGATGTAGGAGAGGTCCCGGTTGTTGGCTTTGACAATGGGAGTTTCTCGGTATTTAATGAAGATGATTAAAACAAGGCCTGTTGTTAGGAAGAAGAGTAGGGCAAAAGAGACCAGGATGATGCCCAGAAGCTCTTCATAAAACAGGAAGGTTATAACTTTGGGGATACATTGGACTCTGTCCTCATTTGGATATTTATCATCTGGGCACTTGGTGCATTTTTTTGTATCTGAGAAAACAAAAAAGCAACTTTCATTAATATTTTGTCCTTTTGTGAATCCCTTTTTGTGAAATGGGGTCATGGGGTTCAGATGGGTTTGCTGATCACGTACCTGGCTCCCTGCCACGTGGCAACAGCCCTGCCCGAGCTACTCAACGTCATCGCCGCGGTGGCGGTTGATACCCCTAAGCTTATGGTCATGGGGGATTTCAACCTGCCATCCGTGGGTGAGACGTCAGAGATGGCTCGGGAGTTCATGGCTTCCATGACAGCTATGGACCTGACCCAGTTAATTCATGGGCCTACCCACACAGGGGGAAACACGCTGGATCTGGTTTTTGTCTCTGGACAGTGGTTGAGGGATCTTGATATAGGGGATATAGTTACTGAAC